AACATCATCCTGGTTGCAGGCAGTGGCTTCGGCGGTGCTGATGATACCTACCCATACCTCACTGGTGACTGGGCCAAGAAGTACGGATACCCCCCCATGCCCTTTGACGGCTGCTTGTTTGGTAGCCGTATGATGGTAGCCAAGGAGGCGCACACGAGCAAGAACGCCAAGCAGGCCATTATCGACGCTCCTGGTCTCGATGATGGACAGTGGGAAATGACCTACAAGGGCCCTGCCGGTGGCGTCATCACTGTGCGCTCCGAAATGGGCGAGCCAATTCACAAGCTGGCCACTCGTGGTGTCAAGTTCTGGGCTGAGATGGACCAGAAGATTTTCAACATTCCCAAGGAGAAGAGAGTTGCCGAGCTCAAGAAGAACCGAGACCACATCATCAAGAAGCTGAATGACGACTTCCAGAAGGTCTGGTTTGGCTGCAACAAGGATGGCAAGGCCGTGGATCTTGAGGACATGACCTACGCAGAGGTTGTCCGACGTCTGGTTGAGCTGCTCTACGTCAAGCACCAGTCTCGATGGATCGACGCGTCCTATACTAGACTCACTGGTGATTTTATCCACCGAGTCGAGGAGCGATTCACCACCAAGGCTGGCCAGCCTTCTCTCCTCCAAAGCTATGCTGACCTTGCGGAGCCTTTCAGCACTGTGGACCGAATCCTCGCCAGCTATCCCGAAGCTGAGCACCAGATCATCAACGCGCAGGATGTTCAATATTTTTTGATTCTGTGCTTGCGCCCCGGCCAGAAGCCTGTCACTTTCATTCCTGCTCTTGACGAGAACTTTGAGTTTTACTTCAAGAAGGACTCTCTGTGGCAGTCTGAAGACCTTGACGCAGTCATTGGCCAGGATGTCGGCCGAACCTGTATTCTTCAGGGTCCTACTGCTGCTAAGTTCTCTACTGTCATTGATGAGCCAATCAAGGACATCCTAGACAACATCCACAATGCTCACATTGCGGCGTTGACCAAGGATCTGTACAACGGCGATGAGGCTTTGATCCCTGCTACTGAATACTTTGGTGGCAAGCTTGTCGATGCAGAGATCCCTCTCGACGTCGAGGGCCTCACTGTCAGCTATGACACTCACAAGAACACCTACCGTCTGTCTTCATCTCCCGCCAGTGCCATGCCTTCACTCGACTCCTGGCTGTCGCTACTTGCGGGACCTAACCGCAACTGGAGACACGCTCTCCTCATGTCGGATGTTGTTGTCCAAGGCCAGAAGTTCCAGACCAACCCTATCCGCCGCATCTTCGCCCCTGTCCGAGGCCTTTACGTCGAGATTCAGTACCCCAACGACCCCTCCAAGACTACCATTGTCGTTAAGGAGCAGCCGAGACACAACCAGTATGTGGATGTGATTGAGGTCAAGCTGAATGGCGAGAAGGAGATTCTCGTCAACATGATCAAGGAGACAACTGCTCTGGGAACTCCGGTTGCTATGCCCTTGAAATTCCTGTACCGCCCCGATGCTGGATATGCTCCCATCCATGAAGTCATGGAGGGCCGCAATGACCGCATCAAGGAATTTTACTGGAAAGCATGGTTCGGAGACGAGCCCTTGGATCTCGATGCCATGGTCACGAGCAAGTTTGACGGAGGCAGCACCACCATCACTGCTGAAGCCATCAACGACTTTGTTCACGCCGTCGGCAACACTGGCGAAGCTTTCGTTGACCGACCTGGCAAGATCATGAATGCGCCCATGGACTTTGCAATTGTGTTGGGATGGAAGGCCATCACTAAGCCCATCTTCCCTCGCACCATTGACGGTGACCTGCTGAAGCTGGTGCATCTTTCCAACGGCTTCCGCATGATTCCTGGCGCTGAGCCCCTCAAGAAGGGCGATGAGGTCTCGACTACTGCACAGATCAATGCCGTCATCAACCAGGACTCTGGCAAGATGGTTGAGGTTTGCGGTACCATCAGCCGCGATGGCAAGCCCGTGATGGAAGTTACCTCTCAATTCCTGTACCGCGGTACCTACACAGACTTTGAGAACACCTTCCAGCGCAAGGACGAGACCCCAGTTCAGGTGCACCTGGCTACGACCAAGGACGTGGCTGTACTGCGATCCAAGCAGTGGTTCACTCTCGACGAGATGCCCAACGAGATCGAATTGCTTGGCCAGACGCTGACATTCCGCCTGCAAAGCCTTGTGCGATTCAAGAACAACAACGTCTTCAGCAGTGTGGAGACCCGCGGTCAGGTCCTGCTGGAGCTGCCCACCAAGGAGGTCATCCAGGTCGCCAGTGTCGATTACGAGGCTGGTGAGTCTCACGGCAACCCCGTCATTGACTACCTTGAGCGTAACGGCACCCCTCTCGACCAACCAGTCAACTTTGAGAATGCCATTCCCCTGAGCGGCAGGACTCCTCTGCAGCTCCGCGCCCCTGCTTCCAACGAGACGTATGCCCGCGTGTCTGGCGATTATAACCCCATCCACGTGTCGCGTGTCTTCTCGGAGTATGCCAACCTTCCCGGCACCATCACTCACGGCATGTACAGCAGCGCTGCGGTCCGAAGCCTGGTTGAAACATGGGCCGCTGAGAACAACATTGGCCGAGTTCGTAGCTTCCACGCTTCGCTGGTTGGCATGGTTCTTCCCAACGACTCGATCCAAGTCAAGCTGCAGCATGTGGGTATGGTGACTGGACGTAAGATCATCAAGCTCGAGGCCAGCAATGCCGAGACGGAGGAGAAGGTTCTTCTGGGTGAGGCCGAAGTTGAGCAGCCTGTGACGGCCTATGTCTTTACTGGACAGGGTTCACAGGAACAGGGCATGGGTATGGATCTCTATGGCAGCAGCCCTGTGGCCAAGGAGGTCTGGGACCGTGCCGACAAGTACCTGCTTGACAACTACGGCTTCTCCATTACCAACATTGTCAAGAACAACCCCAAGGAGCTCACTGTGCACTTTGGTGGCCCTAGGGGTAAGGCCATCCGCCAAAACTACATGGCCATGACTTTCGAGACTGTGGCTGCAGATGGCACCGTCAAGTCTGAGAGAATCTTCAAGGACATTGACGAGAAGACGACCTCTTACACTTACAGATCACCAACTGGCCTGCTGTCAGCTACTCAGTTTACTCAGCCCGCCTTGACCCTGATGGAAAAGGCCAGCTTCGAGGATATGAAGTCCAAGGGACTCGTCCCCCGAGACAGCACCTTTGCCGGTCATTCTCTGGGAGAATACTCTGCCCTGGCAGCCCTGGCAGAGGTCATGCCCATTGAGAGTCTGGTGTCTGTCGTCTTCTACCGTGGTCTGACGATGCAGGTGGCCGTCGAGCGTGACGCCAGCGGTCGATCCAACTACTCCATGTGTGCCGTCAACCCCAGCCGTATCTCAAAGACATTCAACGAGGAGGCCCTTCAGTTTGTCGTCGACAAGATTGCGGAAGAGACTGGCTGGCTGCTGGAGATTGTCAACTACAACATTGCCAACATGCAGTACGTCTGCGCCGGTGACTTGCGCGCTCTGGACACGCTCGGAGGAGTGACCAACTTCCTCAAGATGCAGAAGATTGACATTGAAGAGATGCGCAACAACATTGAGGAGGCCAAGGGCGCTCTGCAGAAGATTATCCGCGGATGCGCTGAAGCAACGCTCAAGAAGCCTCTGCCGTTGGAGCTGGAGCGTGGCTTTGCCACCATCCCTCTCCGAGGCATTGACGTGCCCTTCCACTCGACCTTTTTGCGATCCGGTGTCAAGCCTTTCCGATCCTTCTTGCTCAAAAAGATCCACAAGACTACCATTGACCCGTCCAAGCTGGTGGGCAAGTACATTCCCAACGTGACCGCTAAGCCGTTTGCGCTCACCAAGGAGTACTTTGAGGACGTGTACAAGCTGACTAACTCTCCCAAGATTGGCGCTATCTTGGCCAACTGGGAGAAGTACGTCCAGGATGAGGAGACGACTAGCAGCGAGAGTGGTGCTAGTGCCGACCACGAGGGTGCCGGCCTGGCTGCGTAAGAAATTTGAAGAAGAAAACGGGCGTGACTGACTGGAGGTGATACACAAGAGCATTTGATAGGCGAGATAAGAGCCAATGAACGAGGCGTATTATGGGAAAAGGGTATTACTATGTTATAAATTGGTGGACGGCACGGGACGGGATGAAGGCCAATAGAAGCCTGTGAATTTATGTAATTGTTGATGAATTTGTCATGAAATAGACGTATAATGCAATAGTTTTGATTCCTTTAGTTTGCCTTTTGCCTTTTTGTGTAATCTCTAACGACGTGATAATTTACATGTGTAATTCATCAACTACAGCTTTTACCGCCGTATTCATGTGAGCTTAGAATAACACGATATCGAGTACTCTTCAAGCAAACATATCAATAGTTCTCGCCAATACCAATAATCCTATGCATAAGCTGACGAGTTGATTGATAACAGAATATGCCGCTCAAGATGCCGTGCATGATATATCACAGCTCAAAGCCCGCTGACTAACCAAAAGACGGTGCAAACCGTTGCCTCATCGGTCAGCGGCGACCGCCGAGCTTAGCCGCTTTTTGACAAACCGGTCCCTTGCATGATTAGTAGGTACTTTTTGTTATCTGCTGGGTGAACAAGATTTTGGTGTTACCCCAAAGTCGGCAACATGGGGGTTACCTCGAAAATACTGGGGCGTTCAGGGTGAGCTTGTCAGCTCTATTTAACCCAGCGGCAGGAGCAGCTTCTCATTCTTTTGTCTTTTTTTTTGAGCTGATGGGGATTTTGAGCGATTGATTGAACAGAATAAAAACGGTGAGAATGTCTGCTTTTGAATGTTGGTCTTGTGCACGGTTTACTATGCATGCGCGTCTTTGTTGTGTGAGTGTTGCTGACGTTGCGGAATAGGTTGATAAAAACTGATAGATGTATGCTATATAAACGAGTATATATATCCGGTTAAAGGAAGAAACCCCTCGGCTCAAAAAAGTTGAGAATCAAAAACTGGATAGATTAGAGGCATTGCCACAGCAGAAGAGCGAACCATGTCACCGCAGAGAAAGTTGCTGCTGCTGGGCACGTTTGTCCACTCCAAGACGGCGCAGCATCTCGAGTTCCTCCACAACGCTGCCGTAGCGGTGGATGAGCAGGGCAAGATTGCCGCCATTGAGCGGGACGTGGCGGATGCGAGCGAGGCCAAGGAACGGCTCGTCAAGCAACTCGGCTGGAACGAGGCAGAGGTGGATGTGACGGAGGCTGCCGAGGGGCAGTTTTTCTTCCCCGGCTTTATAGGTGAGTTGGGACACACCAATCGATGATGATGATGATGATGATGATGATGGTGATGATGATGATGATGATACTGACTGTATATGCCAGACACGCACATCCACGCCCCCCAGTACGCCAACGCCGGCATCTTTGGCAAATCCAGTCTGCTCGACTGGCTCGAGACATACACCTTCCCCCTCGAGTCCAGCCTCAAGGACCTCTCCAAGGCCCGCCGCGTCTACTCGCGCTGCGTCCGCCGCACGCTCGCCCACGGCACCACCACGGCCACCTACTACGCCACCATTGACGTCGCCGCGACAAATCTTCTAGCCGATCTATGCCTGTCCATGGGCCAGCGCGCCTTTGTCGGCAGAGCCTGCATGGACGATCCGGAGATCAACCCGGCCTACTACCGGGATGCTGATGCCGCCGAGACGCTGAGGGCGACGCAGCAGACGATTGACCATGTGCGCGGCATCGACCCCGGGTTCGACATTGTCTCGCCCATCCTGACGCCTCGCTTCGCCCCGTCGTGTACCCGCGAGGCCATGGCCGGATTGGCGCAGCTGCATCGCGAGACAAGCCTCCCAATCCAGACACACATCTCCGAGAACCTCGGCGAGATCCAGCTCGTACAGCGCATGTTCCCCGAGGCAGACTCCTACGCAGGCGTCTACGACAAATACGGCCTCCTGACACACAAAACCGTCCTCGCGCACGCCGTCCACATCTCCGAGGCCGAAGCAAGCCTCATCGCTGAGAAGAAGTCCAAGATATCCCACTGCCCGTGCAGCAACACGTGCTTGACTAGCGGGCCGGCTCGCGTGCGCTGGATGTGGGATAAGGGCATTGATGTTGGCCTGGGCACGGACATGAGCGGCGGATACAGCCCTTCGATCTTGGAGGCGGCGAGACAGGCTGCGCTGGTGAGCCGGCATGTGGCGATGGGCATTCATGTCCCTGTTGATGATGATGATGGCGCTGCTGCTGCTGCTGCTGAGAAGGAGAGGGTCAAGCTGACGGTTGAAGAGGTGCTGTACCTTGCCACCAGGGGAGGAGCTCGATGCGTGGGATTGGAAGAAAAGATTGGAGGCTTCGAAGTAGGCATGGAGTGGGACGCGCAGTTGGTATCTTTAAGTCAAGTGAGTGACGACGGAGGCTTAGAAGAGCAAGACGACAGCGATGGCTTCGTGGATGTGTTTGGCTGGGAGAGCTGGGACGAAAGATTAGCCAAGTGGCTGTACAATGGCGATGACCGGAACACGAAGAGAGTCTGGGTCAAGGGTCGGTTAGTTCACAGACGGAGCTGAGGTAATGGGGATATTATTTATAGAGTAGAACAAACGGCTATCACGATGGAACATGTAATGACGACAATGATGGGCATAAACGGATAGATGGATACATAGAATGGAGAAGAAGAGGAATTTCACTAGAAACAATGCCAATGCTGTTATTTTATAACACTATCTATCTGAGTAGAACTGGGTTGAGTTGCGTTAGTTGTGCCAAACGTGAGAACCAGGAAACAAAAGAGAAGAGAGTGATAAAAAGAAAAAGAGGCTATCAAGTTCGTTCCAAACATCAAAACACCATGTTCTTCTAAATCCCCGATACATACTTTTTTTATGCTTGCTTGAAAAAGAAATGGAAAAAAGAAAATGAAGAGAAAGAAAAAAAAACAGCCCACAGAATAAATTCTTTGCTCTCCCCTCTTGCAGAATCATGGAGGCAAATAGTGTAATGACAAACAAAAACAACAAATTTTCCCGTTTTCTCCTTTTATCTCCCAAAAAAAAAAAAAAAAAAAAAAGAACAAAAGCTCCAGAATCATTCTTCAAATAAAGTCGCCGGCCTCAAAACAAATAAGTTGGTGTTGCTGTCGATGTCGATTCGATTCGATTTTTCAAAACGCCTTCCTCCTTTTTTTTTTTTTTTTTTTCGTTTTCCACTTAGTTCTTCTTCGCTTTACTCTCCATCATATTCATCATCACCATCTTCTCTCTTCTTCACAGTCGACCGCTGAGATGATTGCGACAGCTGAGATTCCTCATCCTTCTTCACTTCCGCCCGCCTCCTATTCCGGTCCGCCCTCTTCTTGGCCTCTTCTCTCTTCTTCACATCCGCAGCCTCCATATCAATCGTCTTGACCCGGCCATCAATCTCCTTGATGAGCCGTGTCTTCACTCCCGCTGGCACGTTGTTCCAGTCTGCTGTGTTGCCGCCCAGCGCAAGCACCTTCATCCTAAACCAGGCACATTCGGCCGTCTTTTCGTTGAGCAGCACTCGCGTGTTGTTGAGGGCTTCGAGGCGTGCTTGCCGCGACTTCTTGGCTGCCTGGTTGTTGCGCTGGCGGTCAATCTTCTGGTGCTCCGCTGCAATCTTATTGTTGCGTGACTCGATTTCAAGGCGTTCATGATCGCTGATTCCCTCGGGGAACTTGTGGAAGTCCGGGATAATTGGCTTTGGAGGCAAATCTTTGACTTTGGTAGGAGGCAATACTGGTGGGTTGCGCTCTTGAAAGTCTATCTCATATCGTAAATCCTCTTTGCGGCGGATGAGCTCGGCAGAGGCAAGGCCATGAGGGATCGTCAACAGCATCTCATCAAGCGAGCAGCTTCCCATGCGCAGCGCCGGGCTGCTTGTCCAAGATCGGCTTGGATGCGCCCGACTTGCTTCCTGAGGGTGAAACGGCACTGCCGCTTGCTGCTGAGCAGGCATCTGCGGTAGATGCTGGTATGGAATCTTGGGCGTGAACCCTGTTGATGTTGGTACAGAGATGTCTGGCTGGGGAAAAGGAGGAGTCCCAACATTAGCAGAGTTCACATTGGCAGCGATAGTGTTAGGAGCGGCTATTCGGCGTCGTTTGGTCTGTCCTTCTACCGGCGAAGCAGGTAGACGCAACGAGCGTTTCCCAACAGACGACATCTGAAGCTTTCTTTTCTCTTCCTTCTCCTCCTCTTCTGCAATGGAGGTGCGTACTGAAAGTTCGGAGCAAAGAGAAAGTGTTCAAAACGACTATCAAATAGTATGAAGGCAGAGAGCCCCCATAGGAGTGTTTGGTGAAGACTCTCGTGGCAAAGAGAACCTGTCAAGAGAACAAACGGCAAACACGTTAGCAAAGTTCAAAAACGCCAAAGTCAAATGAACAAAAGCGACGCAAAATAATTAAAGGGCAGAAAAAAAGACAATGTTAGAGGGAAGATGTAAAAGGAAAAAGGGAAAGAAAAAAAAGAAAAGTTAAGCTCGGTAAAAAAAAATCTTGCCCAAAATGGCTTCTTGTCTGCTCTTTGCTTTACTTCTGTTCTTCCGGCTTGCAAGGCAAATGAGCCACAACAAACGATACAAGCAGTTTTTTTGTTTGAATGTAGAGTGAAGCAGCAGCAGAGCATTACTTCTCTGCCGTATACAAATAAATGGCCCGAGCACAAAGGAAGAGTGCAAAAAGTCATGTAAAGTAAAGCAAATGACCAAACATATAGGTCACAATGGGCACAAATTGTGCCCCCATGATATATGTGTGCTCGAGGGAGAAAGGATGAAGATTTGCACAAGCAGCACCCAAAAACCTCAGAAAGAAAGAAAGAGAAGAAAGAAATAGGAGAGAGAGGGGGGGGAGCAGTGCTAGGCGTTTTGAGAAAAAAGAGATGGCAAGCAGCAAACGTACTTCTTGTTGGTTCCCACTTCACACTTCACTTTCCCCTCACATGTGTTTCTCTTGGTGTATAAGTTGCTTCTTTCTACCAAGACGCAGAAGTTCATCGACAATGATAATATGTTATTGACCAGCAACCCGCAAAACACAGTAAGAAGAGAAGGAAAATCCCCAGCTCTGGCGAAAAAAGGGGAGAGTAATAGTCAGTAGCCTTCCAAAATCTTTGTGAATCAATGCAGGTTCTTCTTTTGCTCTCCCGCAATGTCCGCCAAAAATACCTTCCCATCCACCCCCCTTTCTTTCTTTCTTTCTTCTTCTTCTCCCCTCGGCTCATAAACGGTCCGTTATTCCAGCACTTTTTTTCTTCTCTTCCTTTTCACCTGCACCCTTTCCCATTACACTTGCTATTCTATAAATGAATACGCCGAAGTCGGCGTGTTCTCTACTTCATTCATGCATGCGGTGAATCAACGCTTCTCTTCTTGACCGCCTCGTCCGCGTGACCGGAGGCATCAAGAGATCAGATAGCCGTGTATGCTTGCGTCAGATGCTGTCCTCTATTGATCCATAAAGGGAGCAAACATGCGAGCAGACAAGAGATGAACAGCAGGTCGGTGAGCCACCGACAGGCAGACACCATTGATTGCTGCCATTGTGATTTCCCTCAGTCAGCAAACTTACTCCCACATCTTCACTCTCTGTCTGTCACGTTCGTTTGCTATAAGAATCACGTTTGCTTAAACATACAGCAATTTGTATTCATACACTCGGATAGATAGCCAAACGCTACACTAAAGAAACCATTATACAGTGCACACGTCATCCTAGACAAAATGCCAGCCTTATACATAATCACAGGGATATCTTTTCCGTCATAACCATTAATGCCGCTCGTAAAACTTTCCATCCTGACCCGACGCCTGAGTTCGCTTAGGTTGTCCACCCTGTTCCATGTCGTGAGAATATCCAAGGAATTCAAGCCTTGTCCAACACCATAGAAAGCCAATAAACCTAACCTGAACGATACAACAAGTCAACTAGAAACCATCTTCGTTGACTGCTGTGATGCTGCAATATTTGCAGCGGATGGCCACCTTTTGGCCACCTTTCTTTTTCTTTTTTCTTTTTTCCCTTTGTTTTTCCGGGTACGTTCGCATGTGCCCCCCTTTCCTGTAAGGTACTCTCGATAACATTACGGCCGCCCTCAAAGGGCCAAGCCAGTTCCGTTACCTGTCCATCGGTATAATCCAAGAAGCTCCCGCCGTCGCTGCTGCTGCTCGGCTAGGTCTTCTGGTACGCGACCTCGAATCAAAGCAAGTGCGCTTCGCATGACTTTGCTAAAGTTTCGCTAGTTCATCTATTAGTTTTTGCACAGAAAATAAACTGGATATTCTCAAAATTTGCCAACTTACTTGATACTCCGTGCTAAGAGTCACCACGCAGGCTTCGTGTGCTCGTACAATTGTCTCACACGCCTTAATGACGCTTGGAGAGGCTTCGGCTTGCAGCTTGTCGGCAATCAAGAGGAGAAGGAAAGATCCTTGCAAGAGATAGACTCCGTAGAAGAATGGCATAAACTCCAAGCCGGGGTCGAATTCAAGAATTTGATTGATGGCCTCTGCCGCCGACACCGCGTGGCTCGTTGCCGTGACAAATCCTTCTGACGAAATCCAGAGGTCATCGTCATCAAGAAGATTAATTGGGTCCCATTTGTCCGCGAGGAGTATGTGCAGAACATGCATGACGTGGGTACTGTAGGCCACCACGATGTTTGCCTGGATCTCGCTCTCCGTCATGCGGCTGGATGCGTTTGTCCGCACCGAGAGCGGAGACTGCATATCTATTGCGCCTCCGCTTTCGTGAATCTCGTGCTGCTCCTTATCTTTTGATGCCACTGGCAGATGCTTACCCTCGAATCTCTTGAGGCTTTCTTCATACATGTCTAGGTGGCGAGAGATCTCGGCGACTTGCTCGTCCCAATCACGCGCAGAGCGAAACCCAACCCCAAAGCGTGGGTGGCTCTTGGCATGATGAACATCAACAATCTCGCCCAAGATCGTCATTAGGGACAAGAAGTAGCCATAGATGCTACGGCCGCGGCACTCGTAGTGGGCTCCGCGAGCAGCACGAGGGCTATCGCCGAACTCGTCCGTCATGGAGCTATCAATGTTACCACCATCGTAGCTTCGAAACTGACCCGCTTGCCACTTGATGTCGTCCATGGGGTGGTAAAGCTCACTGCACTCGCTGTCAAGGAGAAACAGGGGGCGGTTGTAGCAGAGCGCCAAGTGCCTGTCAACGATATAAACAAGCCACCACGCCCGTCGCCGCTCCTCACGCTCCTCTTCTGTGACGTAGCGAGTGTTATTTCTGTTTAGGTCGTGCTCATCCACGTCTTCGTTGGTGGCTTCGCCGTCCTCTTGGCTAGCAGGTGGATTGCCGACTGGCAGTTCACGACCAAGCTTGAGCTCTCTGGCAAGAGACCAAGCTGCACCCCACCACCGAAGACTGGCGCCCTTGTACTCGCTAGCCGAAATGACTGTCGCGAGGTGCACATAGGTGATGACATCGTCGAGGCTTCCGATGGCCCCAAAAGCACCCGTTTCGCCAGCCAAAGAATCCAGGTTCATTGAACCCGGCATGGCAACGCCAAGGCCACCCAGAGCAGCCGGGCCAACCACGGGGCTAGTCTTGGGAGACGGGCTGTTTGTGCCCGTGTGGATCAAAGGTTGGAGAAGTCCAACAGTCAACTCGAGTAGCTTCTTGCAGACCTTGCTTCTCGCAGAAGGCAGGCTTGTCAAGAAGGACGCTTCGCTGGTCTGCGCTGCCACCCACAGCATGCTCGCAAGCAGCGCGGGCTGGCACCTCCGTGGGTTGGTAGGATGCAGAAAAGAGCGCTTTCGGAACACGAATCCCAGAACATAAGGAGACATTGGATGCATTTGTGCCGATGATGAAGAGGAGAAGTACATGTCGATCAAATCGCATGCCAACGAAAGGGGGAGGATGTTCCCCAGGTGAGGCAGCAGAGGCTCAAGGACAGGATATCGCAGGTCGCTTTGCTTGAACATGGGCTGCGAAAGCTGCAGCTGGAACTGGCCAGACGGAGAAGCCAGAGAAACTCCCCAGGAAGGTGAGCTCCCATTGGCCAGAGGGTACTCGTGAATGTGGCCGGCACCGAGACGGAAGTTTCCGTCGCTGCTATAGGTTGCTGGGCTCTGGGCTTGCGTAGCATAGTTGATGCCAGAGTAGCCGGGCATGGTAGTCGGCGGAGCGCCATACGGCTGGGCGACCATCACATGGCCATTGATACCAGGGCTATCGTAGTTGGGGTGTACTTCGCCATACGCACCAAGCCCCATTGCCGATGGCGTTTCCAGTTGACTTCTACCCAGGGCAGGGTCAACTCCGACGTGACCATGATGCTCCTCAAGGCCTTCCATTGCCCCAATTGCAGGGTGCTGCGACAGTCCGTTGTCACTGAAGGAGCTGACAGAGCCTTCAATATGGCCGTGAGGTGGGTCGTGGGCAGTTTGTGGTAGATCAGCGCTGCCGCGCGAAGACTCACTTTGCTGACGCGACAGCTTGCGATGGTGCTGCTCCTCTGAGTCCTGAGCTTGGCCGGGATGCTGTGATCCTGACGCAGCCGCGGCGGCGGCCTGCTGAGCAGCAATGTCCTTGCGCGATGCCTTGCCTCGCTTCTTCCGCTCTCGGATGTACTCGCAGCTAAGGCCGAATTCTGGTAAACGGTCAGCATACACATGTCCCTGAATGAAGAGGCATTGCCTTAAGGGATAGAAGAGAGAAGCTCGTACCTATGCAGTGAGCACAGGGGTGCAAGCCGTCGCATTTAGTACGCAGCTGGTTGCATTGATCACAAGCTCGACTGATTCTCCTTCTAATTGGACCAGCAGTCCCCGTCGAATTCTTTCTCCCTGCAACGAGTGAGCCCTGCCGTTGCTGCTTTGGCTGGGGGGGATTGGACCTCAGCATACGCGAATTTGAAAGCTCAGCATGTTGCGAGAGATGTTGGATAGGATAGGGGTGGTTGTTGTTAAATGTGTTGACGTTTATCGAGTGGAGGTGAGCTTGAGACGCATGGTAGTTGGCGTCAAAGGATGCCGAAGAGATGTCGGGATAGGCTGAATAGCGGCGCAGCGGATTCGACAACATGATGGCGTCTTGTTACTTGATGAGGTAGCCGAATGTAAGGCTTATCAAGCTATTGCTGGGGCGAGTCAGGGAGACGAAGCACCCAGAAACAGTAACTAGGAAGAGGGATTCAAAAGCAAGGCCGAGATGGTTCAATCCGATATGCTTCTGAAATGATGGCCGCTTGAAAAGGTGAGCTGTGGTTGTTGCTGCTGCGGCTTTATCCGTGAGATAAGCACACGTTGAAGGAGTATGTAGCCGTCAAATAGAGCAAATCACGGGCAAATAAGATTTGCACCAGGCTCTGCCTGCCGCTGCCACAAAGTAGGCTTTCAAAGGAGAGTGTTAGAATGAGGTGAATGCTGCTCGCCAGATCAACATGCTTCAAAAATGAGATGTTCCGGCAGCAATCAGTCTCTTGACGAAACTATGACTCGCCGAAAGAAAACAGGGAAGCCGACAGTTCTCACTTGGTGATTGCGAGAGTGTAAAGAGGGGAAAGGGGGAAAAGGCAGCTTTAAAAAAAAATACCCTATCGTGAGCATTCACAAGCTGCTCGCCTGCCGCCCAGTAATGGCAGAAAATCACCAGCAATGACACAAACAAAAATGATGCAGCGTGAGAAGTCGTGGCGATGACAGAGACTGGGGGGGTGTTTGTTAAAAAAACACGACAAGAGAGCTCCATCATCGAAGTAATATATGGGGACGCTTCTCAATTTTTATTGCTGCTCGCTCCATGCACCGGCCTCCATCAGACAAGCCTTGTGAGGGTCCCAAAGGCCCCAAAGGCCCCAGAGGAGACCTCGCCAGGCCAGGGTGGGCAGGCATGGCAAGCCGTCGATGGTGTGGAGGCGGAGAGGGTGGCCAAGTGATGGTCATGGATGGCTGGAGAATAGGATGGCGATGGAGCAACTTGTGGAGGTGGACTTGTAAGTGGAGACGCTGGGGTGCGTAATGCATTTTCCATTGGCGCGCGTCCTTAGGGCGATTTGCTATTGTATAGCTAAGGGAATTTCGGAGATACTAGTAGTTCCTAGCCATCATCACACTGCTGCTGCTGCCAGCAGGTGTTTCCGCCTCAGCAGTTGGAGCTGTTCGTCCCCATGGTTCTCGGGCACGCCACATCAACGATCGAGTAGGGGGGTGGAGGCAGAGGCAGCAGCACAGAAGGTACTTGTAGCAGCAGCAGTAGCAGCAACAGCAGCAACAATAACAGCAGCACACATGTCCCTGTAGAGAGCATTATCGCCACGAGCCGGCCGTTTCTGCAACGACACGGCTGTGGCTGGCCGTAGAATAGATTGATTGGGGTGACAGGGAAAGGCCTGGGAGCGGCAAGCAATCCATGCAGAGCAAAGCTACCAATCCACGTTTCCGTCGCTGCACGACCAACGTTGAGATGAAGAACGGAACATTTTTTCTGCCCAGCGTCTTCAGTCGGCGAATCGACACATGCCGTTTCATGGAGAGAGCCGCGTCCCTCCGTCGTATTTTCCGATGCTCATTTGTCGGGCAACTCGCAGGGTGCCTGTCAGAGTCCTCCCAGGTACATGCATTAGCACGCTCTCCTACACGCCGCCACGCGTATCGAAGACTTATTGCCGGTGGTAAGGGCCGGTTTCAGCAGCGAACGATTATGCGGGGTTGGCTAGACAAGCCGAGTTCCAAGTTCCTGTCGACGGCAGGCCCTCTGGCGGCATCCTGGCGGCCATTTACTGCTAGGCAGCCTGGACCTGACGCTGGTGCCAGACCGGCCAGCCTCTTTGTGGGCAGTGGCTGCTGCTCCAACCGTCCATCAGCCGCGCCCTCGGACCTGAGCTCAGCAAGATGGCAAGTCGGAGGCCTTTCCCAAAGCGTCAAGCCACTCTAGACACTTCTGGAAATGGTGCAGGGGGGCCATGCGGCGAGTATGGGGTCGGTCCAAGTGGCGCCACGGTTTGGGCTGGTGCTGGCTGCCCCCAACTAGATGGGCGAAGAACAGGGCGTGCAGACAAGTGACAATCGGACCAGGGGAGAAGACGAGAGGGAGTCGCTGCTCGGAAAAGGTCTCCGTTGGGCTAAGCGAGGAAAAATTTTGGCATCCATCCCCTCATCTGACTGCATCTCTGATCGCGCTGCTGCAGAGGGACCGAAGGGGCATCCGTCTGTCTATAAGAAGAGAAGGGAAAAGGAGAAAAGGAGACGTGATGGTGATGGTGATGGTGATGGCGATGGTGAAGGAGATGAATTAGAAAAAGGGATGACAAAACCAAAATTGGCAAATGCCCGCGTAGTAAGCCAACAGCCGCACGGATACGAAGCAAGCAAAGTTCGGCACGCAGTCAGACTCAACCCTGAAGCCCAGGCGCGGAGCGGTGCGGTGCGCGGAGAAAGGCATCTTGGAGCAGGAACGCACACGGGAAGTGCTGGCCTGGCGGCGTCTCTGCGGTTAGAACCAGAACCGGCCGGCCATGGCCAACCACATCTCGCGGCAGACAGCTTTAATTCGCAGTGCTAGCCTGTGATTGGGCTCGCTCTAGTGCCTGACCGCCGCCGCTTTAGAAGAGAGAAAAATCTTTTGGCTTGGCACGAGGAAGCGCCAGGGCATCGCGCCTTCACGTTTATTGCTGGCCCACTTGCCCTTCTGCGGCACCGTTTGGATGTGGCTGCTGCTGCTGCTGCTGTTGCTCCTTGTACCGGAGCGTACCGGGGTGTAGTACCGGAGTGTGCCAACACGGCGTCGCAACAGCGTGTGGTAGCGCTCGATTCAGGGTGTTGGCAGCCTGCTAGCTCCGGCTGGTAGAGCTGTACATCTCTCGCCCGCTAGTTCATCACTGGCGCCCAGGTCGCAATTATCTAGCAGAAAAGCTGGGGATATCAGAACGGATTATTTCTCGACTTTCAAATCGCCGAAAGATGGCATCGCCACTACCGGCAAGTCACAAGATGGCGATGTAGTATACATGACGAATCGCAAATATACATGCATGAACAAAATAGACCCCCCTCCCTTTCCCCAACCCTCCGAGCCGCCCGTGATCCCCACACTCTTCATCTCCTTTAAAGTGCTTCGGATGCGACTCCAGGAATATCCCACTGCTCTGTGTTTCCCCGTCCGCCTTGGCCCAATGCTTGTGCTCCCTGTATTACTCCAGGGCTTATATTGCCCGTGTAACCATCTTAGCGGAAATTAATTCGTACGGTCGTTGCCATCGCCTCCGTCTTTGGGGTCGTAGTAGACAGAATCGGGACAAGTGCTTTTGGACCCGTCAGGTGCTGCAGCAACGAATTTGCCGTCTTGCAGAGAGCCCTGGACGTTGAAGTGGTAATAGACTTGGTTCAGGCTCTTGCCCTCGCAGCCCAGCGTCACATCGGCGCCGTGTTGCTGAGAGAGGGCGGACTGGATGTCGTCTAGTGAGTAGGACTTGGAGCCGTCAGGAGTGATTCCGGCATCAGCAAGCCATTGGTAGGTAGGCAGCGTCTTGAACAGTGAGACGGTCTTGGAGAAGAAATCAACAGCTTCTTGGGTGGGAACATAGTCTTCATAGCAGCTGGGATCCAGGGTAGAAATACAGGTGCCATGCTTGCCCCATTCGTGCTCCCAGAAAGACTCATCGTCGCCTTGATAGTCCTTCCAGTAAGTCTGCATAAAGTCAAGAGTGCTGCTGGCATTCATGGCAGTCAAGATATCGGTGATATTAGTGTACGCTCGACTGCTGTCGCATGTCTGGGGAAACGACCCATCACAATTGTCTGGCCACAGTCCGTGAACGGTCCAGGAATCTAAAGGCGTCGTTACGTGTAAGTCATCATCCTCCATTTGGAAAGTCATAATGAGTCGCATCCTGCTAGGCTGCAGGCCTTCATTCGCTTACCAGATGGGCCCGTTGGGGGATTGGTATCCCAGAATTGAGTCTGGAGCAGCTGACCAGACGGAATGAAGCAGCAAGTATCTTCAACGGCGGTAGTGTTGTGGCAAGAGAGTGGAGAACTGCTAGGACACACTTTGGAGGCCGCGGCGGCAACAGAGATGAATGCAGCCAGGACAGAAACGGCCTTGTATGGGTACATCTTGAAGCGTGAAACTCGAGGAATGGCTGCAGTTGGCGCGGTGCTTGGTCGTCTTCTTGAATCTTATCTGCTCTCTCCCTTTCCGTTTCCTTATAATCTCTTCTCTTTAAATGAGCAGATGGTCTCAGACAAGCAGTAAATATGGTCAGCCCTACCTATTTAACATCAGAAACTCTTAAAAGATCAACGGGCAGATAACAAAGGCCCCTGGGGCCATCTTTGGATGGCGCTTGTGACGAATGTGGTAGGTGTATCGACTTTAATCGACCATTGGCTGAAGATCGGAACTTCTGCCGGGATATCTGCTGTTGATTCACATGATAAACCTCCTTTGAAACGGACGAAACGATTCATTTCAACTTGGTAATGGCGAATAACTGTCCTCTGTTTTGCTGTGCCTTCAGCCAGGCTGACTTTGGCTGTGATGCGCTACGCACAGACTTCTCGGTGGACAAAGTTCCTTCACCTAGCGCCCGGAAGAAGCTCCCATTTCAGAAGGTTGAAAGGCGGCATCTAACAAGATCTGCGGATCGACAGCACTTGTGTTGGCAAAGCGTCCCCAGAGCTCCGAGCAGATGCCAAAAGCCTCGCTGTTTCGCTGCTTCATTCGTTGGCTGCGACTGAGGCTTTTAGTGCATAATGATGAGGAGGTTTCATTTGTCTGACTGCTTTAAGCTCAACGCATTAGCATTGGTAGATGGTGAAATTGAGTATGTTTCACTGTGGGTATAATGAGCAGCGACAATCAAGGCTCCATAGCCTGGAGTCATGTGGGCGACGTCTCTCGCAGTGAACCGCAGTTGTACGCGTCTGATGGACTGGGAGTTTTCTTGGGGTTCGACCATTGTCATTTACGATCCGGTATCAATGGTGTGGCATGGGCTTGACCACCAGTTCAGACGCTTTTGAACATTGAAATTGATGTGGTGGTGAATCACAGGCGAGAGTCGTGGCGAAGTGCTTGATGTA